GGGGGGGGGGGGGGGGGGGGGGTGTCAGAGGGCAGAATAGGAGCTATTAGACAGAAGGCTCAGAGAGACAGATTTCAGTTCAGCGGCAGGAAGAACTTTCTAGAAAACAAGAGTGTTGTCCATGGAGTGACTCTTACTTTGAGCAGTGAGGAGGCATTTAGCTAGAGAGAGGATTCAGTGGTGGTGAGGTGTGGATCAGGTGACCTCTTGGGTCCCTTTTGACTCTGAGCAGCTATGGTGACTTCCAAGAATCTGACAGTTCCTCAAAGCCACATGGGGGTGCTTGTGGGCCTCCTGGCAAAGCTCTGCAGCTGTCTCAAGCTTGGCAAGGGGGCCTGATGGTAAGTCTTCATCATCATCCTTGTTGTTAGCATTCCTGAGATGAAAACGACCAAGCCGTCCCATCGTGCCAGGGACAGGGCACGTCATAGCTGTACCTCATCCCCTTTGATGTTGGGACCTCCAGGAACCAGCATGTCCAACTGACTGGAGGAGGACATGGGAAGGTAGAGGCAGGGAAAGGTGTCACTCCAAAGGGCTGGAAGTCTGGTCTCAAGGGCACTGGTACCATCTGCCCACACACGGGTGGCACCTCCAGGCCGGAACACATTAGCCAAACGGCACAGTTCACCTTCTCAGCTTGGCCTGCACACTGGAGCCACCTGCTGGGGGTCAGGATCTCAGGCCCATGTTGTGAGCAACCCCAGGTGACCCAGTTAGGAACTCAGCCCCCAGGTGTTCTCCCTGGTCCCACCAGGTTCTCAGCTCTTCCTGCTCCCCGGCGGCTTCACGCCCCTCACTGATGGGTGCTCTCCTGGGCCACATGCTTCTCAGGTCTTCACGTGCCCAGTGTATAGATCCTTCTGGTAAAGATGAAGGTCATGGGTGGGACTCGTGCTTTGCCACCAGGCAGTCCTGGGTTCAAATCCCAACCTCGCTTATTGGAAGTGCAACCTGAAGGAGGTTACTTAAAGTCTCTGAGCCTTTAAAGCAGCGGTTCTCAACCTGTGGGTCGCGACCCCTTTGGGGGTCGAACGACCCTTTCACGGGGATCGCCTAAGACCATCGGAAAACACATATTGAATATATAATTACATATTGTTTTTGTGATTAATCACTATGCTTTAATTATGTTCAATTTGTAACAATGAAAATACATCCTGCATATCAGATATTTACATTACGATTCATAACAGTAGCAAAATTACAGTTATGAAGTAGCAACGAAAATAATTTTATGGTTGGGGGTCACCACAACATGAGGAACTGTATTAAAGGGTTGCAGCATTAGGAAGGTTGAGAACCACTGCTTTAAAGGAACTTCAGATAAAGTTCCTTTATCTTTAAAATAATGTGTATGTTATTCACAGTGGCCAAGACATGGAAACAATGACAGTGTCCTGTGATAGAGGACTGGATAAAGAAGAAGTGGTACATATACACAATGGAGTACTACTCAGCCATAAGAAAGGATGAAATAGCGCCATTTGCAACACATGGATGGACCTTGAGAACATTATGCTAAGTGAAATAAGTCAGACAGAAAAAGCTAAGAACCATATGATTTCACTTGTATGTGGGATGTAAAACTGAAACTTATGAACACAAACAGCAGAGTGGTGGTTGCCAGAGGGAAGAGGATGGGAGGGAGAAGGTGGACACATGGTGCAATACACAGATCTTGTAACAAGGAAACCCACACATGAAACCTATATGTTCATGTTGACCAATGTCACCCCAATCAACTTAATAAAATTTAAAAAATGCTTATGATTCAAGTTCGAAGTAAGGATTACTGAGGATGCTATGTGTGCAAATGCCAGGCTCTACAGTGCCCACTTCTGCAGGATGCATAGCTCCCTGGGAAGGTTCGGGAAGGTTTCTATGGTACAGTCTTGATTTCTGGCCTACTAACTGGTTCAATCTGCCCTGGTAAGCTGTGATCTTACTCAGTGCTATGGGCTGACTTATGGTGTCACCCCCTCCATTCATATGTTGAAGTCCTAACCCCCAGGACCCTCAGAATGTGACTATACTAGAGATAAGGTCTTTAAAGAGGTTTAAGTTAAGGTTAAATGAGGTCATGCGGGTGGGCCCTAATCTGATCTGACTGGTGTGCTTATAAGAAGAGAAGATTAGGACACAGGCACACACAGAAGGAAGACCATGTGAAGTACAGAGTGTGAGGATGGCCGTCTACAAACCAAGGAGGGAGGCCTCAAGAGAAACCAACCCGGCTGACACCTTCATCTTGGACATCCAGTCTCCAGAACTATGAGACAATACATTGTGGTATTTGTTATGACAGCCTGAGCAGGTTAAAATGCTCAGGGAAGTATCTCTGAAATGATAGTTGCCCATTTGCCCCAATAAATGTTCTCCCAAATTATCCATCAATGGCCTCTGTGGAAGCTTCCTCTAACCATCAACAAAGAACTTGCCTCCAAAGGCCCCTCCATCCAGGTTTAGTGTGAGGGGCATTGGGTTCATGCTGGGAAGGTGCTGCTGTTCTCTGTTCAGGCTGGTCCTGAATCACTGGATGCTCCCCGACGTGGGCTGGGTATTTGGGGGCTGGCAGATAGACCCTGGGCATGGCCGTGAGTATGCGGGGCTGGGTGGGGGTTAGGGAGTAATCCCCTCCTTCCAGCCCCCGGCAGTGGGGGGTGGGCGGGGTGTCTGCCTTCCACCCTATGGCTGCCTGGATGACATTTCCTGGAGAATCAGGAGTGGCTGTGGGTGGGACTGCAGATACCAGTGCTGTGACACGCTTCACTCAGCACTCGCCTCGCCACCTTGTATGTCCACTGACCGGTCATCAAGCCCACTTCCTGTCAACCCCGGGACAGCAGGAAAGGGGTGTTTCCTAGCCCAGACGTCTAGAAGCA